GCTCGAGGAACTTCTCCCGCGCCAAAGGCGCCTGCGCGTTCACCAGCGGGCGCTCGCCCGACTGGGGCGCCAGCATGGTCAATGTTGAAATTGGATAGAGAGAGCATCTGGTTTCAGCCGCGCGCGCAAAGTCGAACACATCACCTGGATGGCCCCGCCAGTGTTCGTCATAATGCGAAGACAACGCCGAGGAAAACTAGAAATACACCAGCAAGACCACTTGCTAGATGAACGCTGGCTTGCACATGTGGGGCATTAAGCAATTCAAGGGTTTCTGGCATGATGCCTGCGGGCGTGCCTCCGTCTGGCGCATCCAGTATGTCCGCGAACACGGTTTCAATGTCGTGGGCGTCTTGGCCAATGGCACTTCACGTTTTAACATGCGCTGTCTGCGCGCTCGCGAAATCAACGACGGATGTCTGACACTCGTCGTGGCATTCCCCAGGACCCATTGATACCCGCCACGACGATGGGAGCGCAGCAGACAATGCTTTGCCTGATTATACGGCTTCCATAGAGCGCCTGATCCACAGGACATGGACATCCTCGAATGTAATCGTTCTTGGAATACGTAGAGGCTCCTTCGATCGGATACATATTGTTGCAGCAGTCGGAAACTGATCATAGGTCGTCCGAATAATCTGAAATGTCAGCAGGCGGGATCTCAGTGGCCAGCTGTAGGATGCGAGCGCAACAAACACATCCCTCAAACAATGGGACGAATTTCGCACGCATGCGAAACCAGGCCCCAATGGAGTCTGCAACCTGCGCACAGGACATCCTATCAACACGTGTACCACTGTTTTGCAATATCCCACACGACTGTCCATCGAGCCGAAGGGTCTGACGACGCAAAGAGAATTCAGCTAGCGCGAAGCAGCGTGAAGACGTTGTGTGGTGCATGGCCCGATAATCTGAGATTAGGCTTGGCAGGGCCCCCGCGTTGACGTGAACTGTCGAGCCCAGAATTAGAAGAACTAACATAGACTCTCTTTCCCGCCCAGGAATTCAATAACATATTGCAACGATGGCGAACGATCTTTCTATGCAGTATGTGCCACAACGTTTTGTGGACTTCTTGCCATCACGGACGAACGGTGAGTTTCCCCGAGAATCCTAGCAGTCCTCTGGAATGAGTCGCCGCACATCCTCTGCCATAGTCTCGCTTCTGCTTGTAATCAAACATTCCAGATGTCCATCGATCCTCCGAGGTTTTCCGAATCCTGAGCAGCTGCGCATCGAATCGCCGAAGGATTGATTACACATCCGCGGAGCAACAGACGGACGAGCGCATTCGCGAGGCAGCCAATGACGCCACAAGATCGCGGGATCGGAAAACTGTACCACCAATGCTGGGCGGACAATCTCACTGCACGCATCGTCATAACATAGTATTTCATGGTGCCGCTTCTCTGGGGAACGCCGATGGTAATGATTTTCCGATTCAAAAAACCACCTTCCGCTGTTCAGCTTTTCATGTGCCAGTACGAATTCAAGCATGTCTAAGACGTCCATTCAACCTTCTCGCCTTTGGCGAGAAGAGCGCGACATCCGCGCCCGCACCGGAATGCCGCCCCATACTGCGAAGACGATCCGGACGATGATAGCCACGCGCCAGAAAGAGCCTGTAGTGTGGGCAGCACCAGACATCCACTGGCACAGCCAGTTTGCGTCGTTTCCAGTTCTCGAAGCGTGGGCGAAGTGCAGGGCGCACTGCAAACCACGACGACGCGGGCGTAACGAACGGGCCAATCTCCGAAATGAAAGCGCGGCAAAGATCACAAACAGCGTTTGTCGACAATGTCGATGCAGGGACATCATTTGCCTCGCGCGGAGAAGCAGGGGAAGATCCAGAAGAACATGCATGTCTCGGTCTACGAGATACTCGGGATACTCTCCCCAGTTAGCCCCAATTCCAAATTCAAATATGCGTGCCGCGTCTGGCTGACGCTTTCTGAGTTCGCAGGTCTCTCTGGTAGCAAAGGGCCCTGATTCTGGACTACTTCGAAGCAGGCGTCGCCATCATTCGCGTGAAGTGCGCGGAACTATTCAGACGCGGCGCGATGTGAAAATCAAGTTGCCCGTCTCGAAACACTTGCCAGACGATTTCGAAGGAGCCCCTGGAAAAAAAAAACAGACGCGCCGTCATGGCATTCGGAGCGACCCAGACATCGTTTGTCAGCTGCTTTGCGAGCTAGTCCCGCCAGAAGTTGACAATTGTAAATGCTCGCGAGAGGCAACAACGAGCCCGCGCGATGAGCATCGCTGCGGGGGTGGCAGTCGCCAGACAATTTCCTGATTGGGATCGTCACGATGAGGACAGCGCTGAGGACAGTGGCAGGATGTCTTGACTTTACGACGTTACAAGACAAAAGGCCGGCCACGGGGCGAAATTGTTTTCCAGCGCGCTCTCGCGCAGGGATTGCGCATCTGCCGTGCACATAATTAGTTGACACTCGTTGCTCGTCGGCGCGAAGCACTCTTCGCGGGCCCCTTCTGT